GATGAGGTAAGAAACAGAGACAGCAATAGATCCTAATATGCGTGTAGTTTGTAGTTTTCCAAATAGATTTTGGAACCTGGAACTCCCTGAATGGGGAAATCAAAGAATCTGCAAATACAAATAAGAAACAAGAGGCTGTTGCTTCCATGTTTCCAAATGACCAATGATGGAGATTAACAATTTGAAAAGACTAAGGCTCATTTTTTGGAATATTGTAACCTGCATTTTCACTTTATTTTTAATACTATGTCAGGGGCCTCTGTATCACATAATTCAATTATGAGGATAAATGTGGTAGTCTGTTTATGAAAATATAAATAGAATTCATTTGAAACTTGCAATCAGTGTCTATTGTAGTATTATTTAATTGAGGCAGTTATTTAGTTTACAATTAAACTTACAAGTTTTATATTGTACATTGAGAAATCTTTACAAAGGTAGAGTATTCTCAGAATAGTAGGCTTTGATTGCTACATATTATGTTACAACCTTGGGATGATTTATGGCAAAAATTGACCTTTCTTCCCTCACATTCCCTTAGCAATAATGCATTTAGAGGCACACACTGAGCTCCTATGGGTTAAACATGTGATGATCATTATTCTTTTAATGTTTTACACTATTTTCCATGTTTTCTATTAGTTCTAGTCACTGCTTATGTCGCCCAATGCCACAATCAGGATATTTTTGATATTGTGTATTACCCTAATCTCCAAGAAGGATGCTCCAAACTGATTAATCTCAGAATGATTAAAACATCCTATGCAATTCACTTATTGTTGCTACAGTTAATTTAATATTTGATAATTTAAAGGTACCATAATTATTTCATAAGCTATGCCTGTATCATGAGGCAGATGATCTGTATGTGGCCTCTCCGTGCTTACATGGAGTAGCTGCCTGTAGGGTTAGATTCAGATAAGATAGGCTATTGTGAGCATTGTCAGTCTACTTACCACCTACTTGATGATGTATACCTCCCTTCCTGGCTCTCAGAGGACCATGTCCATGCCCAGAACCAGAGGGTCGTCTAGGGCCAGGAGTAAGAGCATAGCCTCCCCTTGTGCAGCTTACTTTCTACTGTAGGAGGAGGGAATGGAGATGGGAGATTTGAAAGCATGCTGCAGCTCTGAGTGATTAACTTGTGATTTGTGGACTATTTGAATATTCAAGATTGGACACAGAAAGAGAGCATGGTGGCTCTGGACCTAAGGGACAATGTGGCTGTTCTAATCCCAGTACTGCCACTACTTCTCCTCTAAAACTCCTAGGAAAGTTGTGGGTGATTTTGCCGAGACAGAGTTTGAGAGGACAAATTCCAGCCTTGTTTTTAGTGTGGATTTTTTCCAGTGTGTACTGTGACACCAGAGTGGTGCTTCATCGCAGAGGGGTCAGAAATTAAAGTGCCCTCAGGTGTTCCCAGCAATTCTCAGTCATGTCAAACCCATGGCTTCTTACTCCCATATGGTTTGATGACTACAGTTAGTACCTGAAGGCTAGGAGCTTCTGTTGGATATGGCTCTGTCACTGAACCCAGTAGGTATTCTTTCCTTGACACTTAAATGAGTTCTCCAGTTCCTTATTGTCTATTTCTTCTGTAAATAGAAAATTTATCTTTCTCTTTATTTGCATAGGGTTTTCTACATAAGAGTAATGTTGTCTTTCACCTTTAAGTCCCCCTGCCCCCATACACCATCCTAAGCAAAGTGTGAGCTCAATCAGGATTTGTTGTCTAAAGAAATAAATGGAAGATCCGATGAATAGGCAGACTGTGAATGAATGAGATTCTATTACCCTTGTCAAGACTATCTTACCATATATGTCCCAGTGGGTTTCTAATTGTTTTTTCCCTGTCCCATCTAGACCTTTAACTCTGAGATGCAGATCAGGTCTCACAGCATTTGTCATTGTAAGCTCCCATGCCCAGTGCTTTTCCAGACACTTAGGAAGTGTCTACTGGTTAAGAAGCACTTGCAGCCCCATTTGAGAGTTGTCTGTATAGAGACCAGCTATGAGACTGAGTTAGATAAATTTGCATAAGTAGTGACTTCACGAGATATACTAGATTCCAAGATTTTCTTTCAAAAAACACCGGGTGTGGCTATATAAAGATTTGTCTGTATAGTTATTAGTCCTCAATGATACTGTCTCTGACTCTGATTGTCATTATCTGACTTTCTACAATCTTCTGTGTCCACATATCCTTGACAGAGATTTTTTCCATAAAGAAATGAATATCTGTAACTCCAGGTGGAGGAATGATATTTGCAGCTGGCATGAGGCAGCTATCAGCTGCACTTTTCATAACAGAAGTAGAAGAAATCAAAGAATAGGGGCCATAGCACACTCAGCATCTTTTATTTCACTTGCTACACACAGGGGCACCAGAGTTTCAAAAGGATCAATCACTGTTACTTTTACTTTACATTAAATTATATTTTATGATTACGAATGCTGAAACTTTGATAGGTAAAGTTACTGAATGTGCCTCCTATCAAAGTTTCTGCCCCACGTTTTTTTACTCAGGAGCGTACTCATCATGTTTGTGAATATTGTTGTTTTAGACTTCTTTAATTTCAAAATCAATATTGATATGTTTGTGTAAAAAAAAAGGTAAGCAATGGTACTGGGAGAGAACTTGGTGCCAAATATTTATTTTATAGTATTGACTCTGACACTATGCAACAATGACAATTTACATCTTCCTTACAGCTCTTTGGATATTTTGTTTGGGAAAAGGTATTAATTGAAAATTTAAGAATTATCTTGAAAACCACAATTGCTGTATCATTGAGAAATTAGCCAGTATGTTGTTTGTTACTAAGAATCATACGTAAAAAGAATTATAAGTTGTAGCATAATACATTAGACCATAAAATATACATTCTGTGGACTATCATTACTTGTTCATTTAAAACTCAGAATTCAAAATAGTAGCAGGAGAGATAGCTCAGCAGTTAACAGTACTTGTCACTTTTAAGAAGCATCTATAGCTCCAATTCCAAGGGATCTGACACCTTCTTGCTTCCATTTGTACCAGGTGCACATAGGGTGCACATACATACATGGAACATTCTTTATAGAGCTTTGTAGCACAGAGTCATAGTTGTATGTGGATTATCTTCTTATCTGCCCTCCTATTAAACATACCAAGTCAATGAGGAAAAAAAACACATTTTCTTTTGCTTCATGTTACATTTCTGCCTATCGCCAGCCTGATTCAGAATAGCTTTAAAAAGTATTTCTTGAACAAATTAAACAATAAATGAAGTGTGTTAGGCCAGTCACTGTTGAGTCCCTATATGAAACCTATAATTTAAGGTTCTTTATGACATGCATCCAGCCAATTTTTGAGCCTTTATTTGTAGTGTCTCTTTATCCTGTATTCAAATGTTGTTGCATTAGGAAGGATGACTATATAATTTGTCATCCAAAGTGGAGAAAATTTTAATATGAAAGCAAATACAGCTAATAATTATACTAGAGTAACAATTGTAACTTGGAAATGTGTGTGGTAATCCAGGGTAGCTAACCTCATTATTGGACAGCATCTTAGCATGTTTCATTTACTTGGGATCTTGTGTTTACTGAAACAGAAATCCTTACATGTAGAAGATATTCAATAAATTATGGTGGAAATCAATAGCTATTCAATAATGAATTTTATAATACTTGAAGATGTACATGATATGATATCATGTTGAAAGAAATCTGGTGTCCCAGGCCCCTTTTGATTTCCTCAAATATTCTTGAACTTTGTTCTTCAAATATTCTTATCTTCATCTATAATCTGAGAATAATAATGAACCAGCCTTGCAAGAGGTCTCAGGTTCACAGATACTGTAGCAGTGTTCACAGTACAGGACTTGCCCATCATCCCTCAAAGCAGTTAATGAGAAATAACTGCTGTTTTCCTTCCCAGAACACCAGTAATGGGATTTTTTTTTATCCTGAAGAGGGTGAAGGTTTGAAGAGGAGAGGTGGCGATGTTTAGGAGATGCTCAGATCTTACACAAGTAACATGGTACCAGGGTGTAATTCTATTCTCAAGGCCTTCATCATTCACCACAGTATAACTGCTATCTTATGTTGACATATGGCTCATCACTTTCACTGGTTACCAAGCCCTGGGAGAAAAATGTCATTTGCTTGACATACATCAAGTCCTCAGAATGTTGATGTTAGGGTTGGATTTTGATTGATTAAGAAAATGTCACAGAGAGAGAGACAAAAAGATGACTCATGGTATTAATTAATTTACTATATGCTTGAGATTTCCTCTAAATGCCAAGTCAAATCTGCAATGTTCACAGGAATTCAGTTTATTTTGTATTAAAAAAAATATGTAGTCATGAGGGGAGGTGCCTAGACTTACTGCAACTTGATATGTCATGTCTGGGGATCTTGCCTTTTTGCAAAGAGAAATGGAGGAGGAGTTGATGGGGGAGCGGCAGGTGGGGAGAAGAGAGGGGGAAAACTGTGGTCATGGAATAAACATAAATAACAATGATAATAGTAATAATAATTTTTAAAAATAAAAGATAAGCATCTAATTTGACTGTCCAAATTGAAGGAAAATAGGATTAATCAGAGAAATATATATATATATATATATATATATATATATATATATATATATCCTTCTTCTTTAAATGTAATAATATGCTAAACCATCCATGTTCCAGGGTTGTAAGGCTGGGAAATCACAAGGTAAAGTTCCCTTTATGGATAAACATGAAGGGGAGGAAACCAGCTCAGAGTCCTACGGTACATTTGAAAGAGCAAAGAGTCACTTTCTTTTTACATATTGCACTTTAGCTTCTTTGTTTTGTTAGAGTAATACAAGATTAGCCACTTTTCAGACTGTGATGCTTTGTATTTAATAGGCAAAATAATATTGTTAGGGTTTTTTTTTCTGTTTTGATGGCTTATCTGACAGTGTACACTGTAAACTTTTCTGAGTGTAGCTGGTTATATTTATTATATTTTGTTTATTTTAGGTAAGCCTTACCAGCGACCCAAGCTGTGTTGAGGAAATCTTGCGGGTGAGTTTGAACTTTTATTTCTGTGTCATTTAACAATAAAGGAAACTATCTGTTTAAATTGTTGAAAGTACTCTTGCATTCAACACCAATGGTCTTCTGCTTATATTGCCTGCTTCATTTCTTACCCTCATCACCCTGCACTCTAAAGTAATTAAAATTCTGGCGATTTCGTCACTGATCTAGAACATAATTTAGAATTCTGATAAAGATGCCTCTCACCCTATTTAGGAAACATTCCCTACTTACACACCATACCTTAATCTTCATGTCACCTGTCTATTTTCAGGCTCTCAGTGACACCTGACTAGGATTGGAATACACTGTCAATATAATATGGTTATAGAGACTGTATGGGGGAAAGGGAGCATGAGTAGGCTGACCAATCATGGCATGTATGGACAGTCCAACTTAGGAGACAGAGAGGAGCTTAGAGGAAGAACAAAGTTAAAATAGATAACAGCTAGCCCAGCGGTAAGATACCACATGAAAGAAAACTAATGTATCTACCTATTATCTTCGCCAGTTGGAATCATATGGTAATATAGTATTTAAAGAAGATGAATAATAGGGAGTTCCTGCCCTGGCTTTGCCATTTGTCACTTTTGTGACTTTGTGACTTTGGACAGATGACTTTATCTTCCTGAATCTCCCTTCCTTGTCTGTCAAAGATTATAATATCATAATTCTCTTGTAAACTGCCAAATAGTATGTAAATGCTCATTATTATGGTAAATGATGACCAGTAATAGCCACGTAGAAACCATGTAAGTTTTCCTCCTGGAAAAGAAAACAAAGTATATATCAGTGAAACTCAGCAACCACTTTCCCTCACTTAACAACATCAGACTGATGCTCTTAAAGTACTAGATCTTAGGTAAGTGCTTTCTCAGCAGCCTAGTATTTGAAGCCATCCCTGCCAACCTGCTGCCAAAGAATAATGAAGAACATTAAGCTGCCTAAAGTGACCTTGGCCTGCTAAACACTTTTCCTTCCTATGGCTGTTTCTGAATCTGCTTCAGCCAAAAGACCTTGCTTTTGAGGATTAAAAAGATTAGTCTTACCTGTTTGATTGGAGATGATACCCTATAGACTGAAGATATGGTGGCCACTTTTGTAAGATAAGAACCCAACAATTTGTCCAGTATCTATCCTTCAGGCCCTGGGCCTTGACAGGAGTCATAACAGTCATAGTGAAATCTACAAGCATGATACACCCTGGGAATTTGTCTATTTGTTCCATTGGGTAGATACAGGAAATCCCATACAATCCTTCCTTGTTATCATCCAGCATCCTTAAAGAAAGACAAGAATAAAAGAAATGGCTTACTTAGTGGGCAGGGTAACCTCTGTCTACTCTTGGTCCCCTGAGGGCCAAGCATAAATGAAGTCCGTCCATCAGGGCTTTTTCTTTACACCCAGAATGTCAGATCCATCTAAGAGTCACCATATAACTTGTCACTATTGAATTTTCTCCTTCAGACAGCCCAGCCTGGTACTTAAGTGTGTCATGCAGTGACAGTGAGGGAATTAGGGAGAACACCTGTCAGAGTCTGAGTACTTAGGGAAACAGCAGCCTTTCACTTAAGCATGTATAAAAGGCTGGTTGCCTTAGTAAGTTCATAAAAGATAGCTGCAATGGAGAAAGTAACAAAAGTTCTTCTGTTGTTCTTGGAAGAGAACCTAGAGAAAGTTAGTGTTTTGTTTTCTCTTTTGATTGGTTGATTGGTTTTGTTTTGGAAGGCACATTGATTGTTTAGAATTCTGTTTGATTCATTTTCTTCAGTAGTGTCATAAATGAATAGACTTTATCTTATCGAAGAGTAGAATGCTTTATCCCCTATATATGGAACGAGAATTAACTTTCCAAAGTTTATTCCTCAATTCTTATGACTCGTATTTAAATTGTTGTAGACCACACTGCATGTCACAGCAGAGGATGCTGTGGGATTTTGTTTTATTCACATGTCCATACTGCTGATAGCAGGACCCTGTCGTATGTAGGTAGTCTGTCACTTTACTCCCCATCTGTGTCCTTTTTCAGGGAAAATATTTTTCTTTTTCTCAGCTCCTCCACTGAACCCCTCTGTGCTTTTCAAACTAAATTGATTCAAAAGCAGGCAAAGTAACTTTTCCTTTTCTCAGTTTTTCTCCTGAATCCTTCTGTGCTTTTCAAACTAAATTGATTTAAAAGCAGATTCATCTCTCCTAGGTAAAATAACTGTGTAGCTGGAAGATGTGACTCTAGCCCCCTGAGGAGAAAGAATTGGCTCCAAGTTGCTCTTGGCATTTCTTTCCTGAGGAGCTGCATTAGTGTGTTTATCTAACCACAGAGGAAGATTACCCCCTTTCTAACTTGCTGCCTACCCCCTAGTGAAGGAATTTTATTAATTAAATTTGTTCTTTGACAATTTGATATACAGTGTATATACTGCGTTCTGATTACTCTTATCCCCCACAATCTCTTAACTTCCTCCCACCCCTGCCAACCACTCCCTCTATTGATTCCTTTCTCACATTTATGTCATATTGTTTTGTGACAGAAGTTACTGTACAGGCTATTTGCTTTTGTATATTTTAGTGTATTCATTCTTCTAACTGTCCTTTCCTTCTTCTCTGATCTTCTTTTCCCTATTATATATGAAAACACAAGGACAGATTTTTGTATTAGCCAGGTGTGACACCATCAGTCTACTTTATTGCCAACCTTGCAAGCAAGGGTAGGGCTTGCATGTGGTAGAAGTGGAGTAAAGCATAGTTTTCTTTGTTGTTGAAATCTAGTGGTCTCTGCACTATACTTAGCTACCATCTGCTTTGCCACCACCAGCCTTCATTAAGAATCTGTTAAAATTTATATAAAAAATGTTTCATACACTAGCTAACATTTCTTGCATTTAAAACACTAATAACTTTAGTGTTTGAGCAAGTCTTAATGACGGTAATTCCTCCTTCTTGTCATTATTGAATTTTTTCAAGTTTCATTTCCATTGATAATAAAGACAGCAATAGCAAATATACTACTCATGATAAAAGAAGTGATACTAATAATACCTGGATAGCACTTAAGTACATTTCCTTGAATCCTCAGAGAAACCTTTAAAGGCATAATTTTGTATAAATTATGTACAACATTAATTATGCATATATTTTTCACAAAATATATACAAATTAGTTATTCATATTCAACTTTTCCAAACATACTAGAATGCATTCACCTACAAAAAATTTTCATAAAACTACTTTGTCCTGCAAAGCAAGCTACATAGTTGCAGGCTTATTTGGCACTTCACAAAAATATTATCGCTTATTATAAATTTTATAAATCTGAAACTTAAAAGCAGACATTTGTATACTATATCCTAGCTTATGTGCTTGTTTCTAACAGTGTACCACTTACTCTTTAGAGTCAAGGTACTCTCTAGTGCAAACAGAAATAAAAAATAAAAGTAGCTCTACCTACCCAGTGATGATATTTTGCGGTTACAATTCATTTATCATACAGTGATTCCTAGACTGCTCATAAGTAATAATATGGGCAACATGAGCAGCTTCTTTTCTGAGCTATACGGGGTCTTATGCATCATAGACTCATCATTTCTGGGAGCATTAAGCCAATGAGAGTAGCATGCTCTAAAGGCTACCAGCTAAGGATGGATGTTCAGTGATTATTTGTTCTGCAACAATATGATTTATTTGTATCTAGCAAGAATTTACATAAAATGTCAACAAACTATCAATTAAATCCTTTCTAGAGTCAAAAATGCAGATAACATGCTTCTCTTAGATTTGATGCTGAACAGATTGTGTTTCCTAGCAAAATACCTTCTGTAGATGATAATTTCATAGGCAAACATCTGTAAGGGTAATTCACTGTTTATGAGAAATGCTGAATTCACTATGTAGGATTTAGGAACTGTATTTGATAAACTGTGCTTTCTTACAATTTCCCTTGCCATATGGATCAGGCTGGTAACCATCTACGCAGGCACCACTTTTTGATTACAGCTGATCTTCATCTCTACAGCATATTAAATTATGGCAATTGTACTCATTAGTCTTATATTTTTATTTATAGTTTTATCATGGAACAAACCTGTCAAATAATTACAGGATAGCCACATAACTATTTGTTATTTTTAATCTTTTAATAGGGTTAATGAAAAAGTTCATATTATGAGTGAGATAAAATGGATCAGGGAACAAAATTAGTCAGAAATTTGTGCCTGAAAAAAAATTGATTTTATTATCATAATTATAAAGAATAATTAGTACCTTTCAGAAAAATTCCTTTTACAAATTTAACCAATAATTGGGCAATTGATTTTATATACTTTCAAATGAATCTGTAAATAGTTTTCAAATTGAATGCATGTAGAAGATTTTCTCTGTAATTCTTTTAAATATTAATCCTTCTGGAATGTCTCTGAAAGAATCTGTCCCATTCTGGTTTGGGCTTTTAAAATTATAGTTTCCTGAAATACTATATAAATAGCACATCCAATGAAGACAATTGTTGTATATAATTAAGACTATATATAATTAATGTTAACATTGATAGAGTCAACTAAATGAACTAATGATTTTACTCCTACCTAATCTGACAACTAACTCTTACCTAATGACACTGTGAAATATGTAAATTTGTCAGCAGGTGAAAATGCCCTTGAGTGTGTAAATTATATGGAATATCACCTTTTCTGAAGCTAATTCAAACCTCTAATGGACTTAATAAAAACCATGCACACGTGAGCTGAGCTATTCATAGAACCAAATTAGCCCATAACATATATTGCACATTATTTGCTTCCCAGTAATCATTTCCTCTTTTCTCTAGCACAAACTAACCTAGAAGAAAGATGCTAAATTTAATTATAAAGACTATTATGTGAACAATGAAGGTAAGCTCTCCAATGTGCTTCCAAATGCACCCAGAACCTGGCAAGCAGCTGAAATATTTTCCTGTGGAATCTAGGGGTTTACAGCTAGCATATGAGGTGAATTTT